ATACTCAGAACACTTAGACTACAGTTGGGTAAATTCATCTAATATGAAGTCTATTTTGTAATAAAGTATTGATTATATCATGTAATGTATTGAATACTATACTGAAACTGAAAAACAGAATGACTGTACAAGTACAGAATGGTTGTAAGTGTATCAGTTGTTTAACTACATGATCACATGGCAGACTGGGAGTTGCAACTCACTGCCTAAGCCCAGGATTATGAGAATCATACCATATATAGACTGGAGAAAGATCAAAAGTAAAAATTTGAAGTGTTTTTACTGAATTCATATCACTTTCCTACCATCATAAAGCAAAAAAAGGAAAAACTGTACATTGAACCATCATAAACCAGAGGTTGTATCAATCTGGATGAGTCAATGGACATTTATGACTGAGTATTTCATACATGGTATAAAATATCTGCACACTTGAAAGGCAAAAGTCCCCATCTGAGAAGAGGAAAAAATACATATATATGGCACATAGTTACAAGAATTCAGGAAATGAATGAATATTGTAAAAAGACTTGTCAAACAATATTATAAAGAGATCCATAGGGAAAAGGAAAAGATACATTTAGTCTTAGGATTTTAATATTTTCAAGTAAAAACAAAGTAGAAAAGCTTTCATCAGAAATCAAGATTTTTGGAAGCAGATGATAAGTGATACTTTTTAGTGCTACTAGTCAAAAATTACAGTGTATGGATTATAGCTTTAGTATAATTTAGAGGATGATCATATCTCTCTCATTCACCTTCATGAACTGCCATTTGCTTCTGGCTTATGGAATCTAGACCTCTTTCAAAAGCTGATGTTACCTGATACTACACTACAGATTTTGGTAAGTCCTGGACCTAGTTTCTAAGGTTGTTGCTTTTTTAAACTAAAATGCTAGAGCTAAGTATTAACTCATCTTTAGTGCCCAACATAAAAACACATATGTCTTAATCTATATGCTTGAGTTAATGATAGATAAATCCATAGCATATTATAGAACCAACTTATTCTCCTACCATTTCTTATTATTATACACTAAAATATGTCCTTACATTTAATCTCAAAACCTGCATTTGTAGCCTTTATGTTAGGTAAAAGACTCGCCTAGTATCAGCTGTTTGGCTGCATATATTTGTATGTATTACCACCAAATTTCCATTATTTTCCTTTACAAGTCATCTGAAAAACTTTAATAATATTGAAATGAATTAAACAATAATGATATCAGTTTTCAAATTAATTATGTGACCTTTTTCTACTTGAACTTTCTCTTATAATGTTCAATGCTATGTGTACCTCAGTTAATTAAAATGAGTAATATGGTAGCAAACCCACAGAATTGTGAGAAAAATAAATATTTTGTTTTAAAACACTAAGTTTTGAGATGGCTTGTTACGAGACAACAGATAACTGCTACAGAAATAGATGAAATAATACAGAAAGTGGATACTGCCATAATGAAAATGTGAACTATGTGGGTTGAATTTGATATAAGGCAATGAGCTCAGGCAGGCAATGGGGAAACTGTTAGAAAAGTCTGGAAAATCGCAAGTCACACTATGTAACTGAAATATTGAAGAATATTGACTGAAAATTTGGAACATAAGAAAAATATATATAATGAATTGTGGACATTGACAGATGATTCCTAGGTAGAAATTTCAAAGTATCATTCACTTTCTTTAGCTGTCTATGATGATATGCAAGAAAAATATGAACTGAATTCAAATACTACATTTCATAAACATAATTTAGAAAGAATATAGATGATAGAAAAGTTCCATTTAGAAAATAAAACCTGTTATCAATTCTAGGCTCTCAAGTTCCATAGGTTCTTAAAACAGAAAATAGCTTCAGGATCAAAGAAAAGTTAAAATGTGGGTAACAGCCAATGATTATAGAATAACTTAAAGTACTAAAAGACCTAAGTTGTTTCCAGACATACTCACTCAACTAGGCAAAAGAGCTACTTAGAATCTTCAGAACATTGTCTCACAGTACCCTGACATCCCCAAAGTTTATAGACATTTGCCTAAAACTAACTATGCATGTAGCTATTGAGGCATGTGACAGATCTATCATGTTTACAGAAAATTCAAAAGATGTTTAAGAAAGTTATATTGGTGAAAGCATGGTAGCGTGAACTAAAAGGGTCTAAATAAAAAGTAAAAAATGGACCATTAATCCCTGGCATGCTATGGACAGGAGGCAGGTTGAGAAAGATACTTAAGCATTACCACATAATTTACCTTTTATAGAAAAAAAAGTTCAGATCACAAGACATAGATCCACTGTAGCAAGGGACCAAAATTGTTATAGAACAGTGACTTCCATGTACCTGCCATTTCTCCCATTTTCAAAAGTTAGTGATTATTACTGTTTCTCTGTACATATATTATTATTATATGTTGGTTGCATTCTGAACCAACATGAGCCACATTTGAGAAGCCATCTCTGCATACAAATTTAAAACATGAGATTCTGAAATCAGTGTATGATGCCATGATTAGATGAGACATTTGGGAGTGTTGGGAGTCAATATGTGTATTATTTTACATTGTGGGTACATAAATCAACTTGGAGAAAATAACTAGATTTCTAAATTAATGTTTACTCCTCTTTATGGGCATATTCTTTGAGAGTTTTCTTTCACACTGACTCTGGTACAATATATGTTCAAAATTCTTTGGCAGTAGAACATATAAAAAAACTCAAATCAGCAGAGATGTGTAACTATTTATACATTTGGTTTGTTCTCTTTTGCTGTTCTTGGTATGATATAATTGCTATATCAAGAATTTCTAACTAGTCTGCTGTATGATAGGAGAAACGTCATTCAGTTACAGCTGATTTGTCATCCAACAGCTTCCTAACTTCCAGATCAGTAATTAAAGCCATCTTATATTATCTAGACACTTGCTGACATAATTGATGGTGTCAATTATATGAGAAAGCTTAACCAAGTCTGGCTGAGTTAGTCCAAATGTGAAGAACAATAGCCCAATCCATAGAAACTGAAGATAAATGAATGTTTTCTTTTTTACTGATGTATGCCTCAGATGTTTTATTATACCCTAAAGATAGCTGATATAAATAAGTAGTCATAGTTTAGTTTGAACTAGATAATTTAGATGTAGCCAATGCAACTGACCTGAAAGAACAAATTATTTTATTGGATATCATTTTATCATATTAATGTTGATAAGATATAGGATAATTAATAGCATCAGTAGAAGGAAATAGGAAAAGAAAGAACCAATAAATTTCATAACTTCACACAAAAAGGAGACAAACTTTTAAGAAATAAGGTAGTTGCATACCATAAAGTGATGGAATTTGTAGGATAATACTATGTATTAGCCAATTAGAAGGACATTGAACATTTAGAAAATATTTTCCAAGGTATTTGTATAGTTGAAGCAATTTTACATGAGGTAAAGCCAGTACGAAAAGATGAACAACTTGTATAGTGCAGTCTTTTAAGAAGTTTAGTGATGAAACTAGTCAGTTCAGTCTCAGAAGTGATCACTATACCACTATAATGTGCAAAGATCTATTTTGGATAATAAAAGTAGAAAGATGCAATCCCTTTCCTTAATAAGCCTGTCATCTAGTAGGAAATTAGAAAATATACTTAGTAGATACGTAGCTCAAAGAAAGACTATGTATTTCTCTCTCTCTCTCTCTTTTCTTCCTTCCTTCCTTCCTTCCTTCCTTCCTTCCTTCTTTCCCTCCCTTCCTTCCTTCCTTCCTTCCTTCCTTCCTTCCTTCCTTCCTTCCTTCCTTCCTTCCTTCCTTCCTTCCTTCCTTCCTTCCTTCCTTTCCCTTCCTTCCTTCCTTCCCTCCTTCCTTCCTTCCTTATTAAGGTATCATTGATATATACTCTTATGAAGGTTTTACAAGGAAAACAATGTGGTTATTACATTCACCCTTATTATCGCGTCTACCCCATACCCCACTGCAGTCACTGTCCATGTGGGGTATCGTGATTGGTGCACACAGTGTGTCTGGGGTCACAGGAAAGACACTGAAGCTCAGAGAAGACATATAGGGACTCTGAGACTATATATTTCTTATTTGCTCCTTTGATTATTTCAAGATAAAGAGTATCAGAAGATTTGTGACCAGAGGAACAATTTAGTGTATTGCGAGTATCTCGAGATTCATTGCTAACAATACTGAACATGCAAAGGAATGAAAGTATAACTTTTAATATCAACACCTAGTTACTTCTCCTTTGCCTCTGTTCAAGGGAAAAGCCTATCTATATACTTACCATATCACTAATTCTACTTGGCTAGTTTGTTACGTGTTGGATTTTATTCCTAGCAAAATCTAACAAACTGGTCAAGAAGCTTTAGGTAGAGTAACTCTACTTTAGACTCACATTCCAATATCATAGTTATTTTGAATAAAAATTACAAGAGGTACCTATAAAAATGCTCTGATTCAAACTTAAGGAGTTTATCAATTAGGAAAAGATGGTTATAAAACCAGTGTCTTTAAAAAGTAATTTGAGTCATCAACTGTTGAGTGACACAATAGTAGATTACCTAGATCCTATCCATTGTGTAATTCAGAGTTACCATTTGTAGGTTGGTACCTCTTGCTGGTCCTACAAAAATATCTGAAAATAATGCAGACAGACTATTGATAATTCAAAACAAATTTTTGGATATTCTAAATATCTCCACAGCATAAAAAATACATAACTTAATTGTGATTGTCTTCTATTAGAACTTGAATTAATTTCTAACAAAATGAGTTAAAGTGAGGTCTCTTTTATTTTTAATGAGATAAAAGTGATATATTAATAAATGTCTCAACCAAGTACATGGTGGGATTTATATTGCTAAATCATGGCTCCAATTGAGCAATTAAATATGAAATATGAAAGCTTGTTTGTTAATTTGTTATGGAAGCTCTGTAACTTAATACCAAACATAAAATTTTTAAAATCTTTGATCCAAATAAAATAACTAATTAAGAATGCCCACTTGAAGTGTATGAAAGGACAGCAGGTTAGCACGCCCCTTGACAAGGACAGAAGAGTCCCTCAGGCCTGACGACACAAACACGATTAAGGCATTGCCACCTACTTCCTGGCATCTAAAAAGAAAAAAGGAATGCCTGCTTAAATAATTCATATATCTGGTATGCTGACTAAAATATATCTGAGTGTTTTGTTGCTCACATCTTGGGGAGTTGGAATATTTAGCAACAAAAGTGTCTCTGAATATGTGAACAGGTTTGATCACGATTCTTCAAATAAGACTGAACCAGCTATAAGCTAGGGATTGATGATGTCCTTGAGAGCCTGCTCAGCCTCAGAAAAGGAGAATAGTTTTGTCTAGGGGAGAAAATCACTAAGATTCCCAAAAGATATCAGCTAGGACATCCACATTCAAAAAATAACTCCTCTTTCCCCACCTAAATCTAATGAAAAATGAACTTTTCATTCTGGTCCCCAGATGATTATGATGCATACATAGTCTTCCTTCATAAATTGCTATTGGCAGTGAGTAGATCTCTTCTAATTGTCTCCATTTGTTTTCCATTCCTCCATCCAAGTGGCCTGGTCTATCACAAGAATGTTAATGCCAACTTCTTTATTCAGGAAAAAGCATTTTTATCTGTTTAAGAAACCATTATTCAAGGAAAACCTAAATAATATGTCTTGATGTTATTATAATGAGGCTAGATCCTTCCTTTTCTTTTAAGTATTAGTGAGGACATTGGTGACTGCTATCATCTCTGAGGATACCTTACGACCTCCCCTTAGTTGATTTAGTCATTCTTTCTTTGCAGCTAAACCTCTTTCTTAAACACAGACAACAAAGATTTCAAGCTTTTGTGTGACCGATGCCTGGGTTGATATTTCAAACCCCATGCTTTCAGCCAGGCAAGATTTTAGCCTCATTGTATTATTCAGCACTATTCTGTGATAAAATGGACTGTTGCCTTTGTACTGCATCTTCCTCCTAAGAGAAAAGAAGATTGCCATTGTTACCACAAAGATTACAGCATACATAATACTCTTTCTATAATTGTTTGACAACACTTGGATGAAGAGTGAAGCAATTGGTGAATTCTCCTTCCTCCCCACCATGATAATTTTTCACAGGAATTGAGTCACCCCATTTTGTAATTGAGAAGGTAAATGGGGTGGGAGGGGTATATCTTTTACACACTCTGACAGTGGTTGCCTTATCATAATCTGTGGATCAACATCATCACGAGTATTTACCTTAATGTGCAACTATTTTGCACTGCCTCTTCAGCTAGAGATAGAAAAAATAACTGTCAACTTTTAAATATTTAGTCATCTGGTTTTAGTTTAGTATAGTCACAAAAAAAACCCTCTAAATGACAGTTTTACCTAGAATAGAAAAACAATTTCCAAATAGTAAGCTTTTGTTCACCAGCACATTATTGTGACTGTTAATGAAAAGATAACTTGATTTTAGAAGTCAACTGCTTTCTTTATATCCTATTCTATCTCACTCACACATCTACCACATTCCTATTCTGGTAGAATTTCCTTACTTCCTTAATAGATACATTCAAATGATGATTTTATTATTAACTTATAGCATCTACCTATTTGAGAACATTGAACTTGTTACTAAGGATGTGTCTCTGCAAGTTGCTTTTTTTGCCATTTCTGCTACTATCCCTCCCCCACCACCATCTTAAGTCATTTGCCATATGTACTGATTTGCTCCCCTCCAGCTGGATGCCTCTACTACCCAAGGAAAACTTACAATCATGAATCCTCTGACATGACAAATTTTAACATCAAGTGTCTTTTTTGAGGTTCAAGGAGTCAAAATGTATTGTGCTCTTTGAAATTTGCAATACATTATAAGGAAGGAAATTCATCCTACTGAATTTGTAGTCAAGATTCTTAAAGGGTTATAGAAGCACACTGAGACAGAATTTCCTATGTTAAAAGTTCTAATTATTTGTCCTTGAAGCCTGGAGCTCTCTAGAATAGGATTTCTTGAATTTGACATCACTGATAGTCCATGTTGCATTGTTTTTCACAGGAGTGGGGGCTTCCTGTACATTGTGTATGTCTAGCAGCATCTCAGACCACTACTCTATAGATGCACTAATACCCACACCATTTATAACAAAAATACCTCTAGACATTGCCAAATATTGCAATTAGCAAAATTGGGAACCCCTGGTTGAGAACCACTGCAAAAGAATTTCCGAATCATTACATGGAACTGATCAATGAAGCAAATTTAATGAAAATATATTTTTACTAAAGAATATAGTAGGAAATCCCTGAGCTCACATGGTCCTCCTATACAGAAAAATTTACTCTTAAAAAAAATAGACTGGCTCTGTGAGGACTACAAATTGAGCAAATGAGAAGAAAACCACATCAAAGTCAGTAGAAGAGGCTGAGACATAGTCTTGCCAAAAACCCTTTCTCAGTACAGATTCCCATAACTAAGAGGGAACTTGAAACCCAGAGCTTCTCATGGAGTAAAATACTCAAACACCACATTGGGCATAACAACTTTTAAGACATACGCTTAGGAGATAAGTCCCCCAAAACATACAAATTTCAAAACCAATGTGTCTCATGTCTGAAGACCCACAAGAATATAGTTATCTGATAAACCATAACTAAAGGGCTAATGTATGCAGTCTCATCTATCCAGGACCCAGCTCAGAGGCTTAAAGTGAATAAGGCACACCTTCTTACATAAAAGCATCAAACTGAGGGGCAGACATCTAATTTAACACACATATCTAGGAGCTGCTGAAGCTCTCTAAGGATGGACACTGGTAGGTGTTATCTGGAGGTCTTCCTTTTTTGCACTCTGAAACACCGGGATCTCCCAGAAAGGAGATTTTATATATGTCTGGTGCCCCAATTTTTTGGCTTCCACCTAGAGGATGCTTCTTGATCACTTGGCTCTGGAGGCCAGAGGAGATTGCATTCCTAGTCCCAGGAGAATATAATAATCTGTGTCACACAGAAAGGATCTCATAAGTCTGTCTGCTGCCCCAGTTTTTATAACTGCTGTCAGGAAACACCTCTACATCACCTACCTATGGTGGCCAGTGGGGCTTATATTCATGGGTCTCACAGGGCTCTATATGATGAAGAATGAGTTCTTAAACAGCTACTAGCCCTATGCTCTTAAAGAGCATAGCAAGAGGGAAGAGACCCAGAAGTTCAGGCTTTCTTTTTTGAAGATGGACTATTAGCTAATCATTATGACTGTATCCTAAGGGCCAAGATTCTAATTAAGCATACATAAGGCTAACTGTCATCCTTTCCAGAGACTTAGGGGACAGGCACCATCTTTGCCATCACCCTCCTCTGTTTACCAGAGTGTGTGTTTCCTGGAAGGAAGTTTTATAGTTGTCCTATGCTTTGGATTTTTCCTAATGCTCCATTTGCACCTGCCTCCCAGGAGACACCTCTTGATCAAGTGACTCTGCTGACCAGGAGGGCTTGCATTCTTGGGTCTTGTGAAACAGTGGCAATTGGAGAGATGGTTCTTAAGCAAATTCTCAAAGTCTAATAGGAATGCATATATGCATAAATATATAAATAAATGCATACTTTTAAAAGTTATGGCTGAGGGCCAGGCTTCCCATTAACCTAAATATATGTGATGAGATCCTCCCCCTTTGGATACTGACAGTTCTTATCACATCCTCAACTACTAGGAGCTATTTAAAATAAATAGTTTGCTTGGACATGTCCAGCACAGAGGTTTGAGAGACAACCAAGAACTAAGAAAGGGTTAAATAAGTTTCATCTAGCTCATGGTATCATTTGTTCAAGACTGGGTGGGGTGGTTGCGATGTCTACTGTATAGACACCAACAGAGAATCAAGCAAAATGAAGAAAGAGAGAAATATGTTCCAAATGAAAGCAAAATAAAAGTCTCAGAAAAAACCTTACTGAAATGTAGATAAACAATTTACATAATAAAGAGTTTAAATTAATGGTTATAATGATGTTTACTGAATCAGGGTGAAGAATGGATGAATACCATAAGAACTACAACAAAGATGGAGAATACAAAGAAAGTACCAAATCAAGGTCACAGAGGTGAAGAATACAATATGGAGCTAGAAAAAAAAAATAGAGGCATTTAACAACAGACTAAATGAACAAGGATCTATCTACTTGAAGACAAGGCAGTAGAATTCACTAAATCAGAGCATGAAAGAGAAAAAGAATGAAATAAGTGAAAAGAGCTTAAGGAACTTTATGAGACAACATCAAATGAACTAGCATTCATATTATAGGACTCCCAGAAAAAGAAAGAAAGGGGCAGAAATCTTATATGAAGAAATAATGACTGAAAACTTCCCTACCTTGGGGAAGGAAAGAGACATCCAGTTCCAGGAAGCCCAGAAAGTTCCAATAGGAGGAACCCAAAGAGACCCACACCAAGACACATTACAATTAAATGTCTAAAGTTAAGGACAAGGAGAAACTCTTAAAAGCAGCTAGATTAAAATAACTTTTTACATATAAGAGAACCCATGTAGTCTATCAGATTTTCAGCAGAAACTTTGCAGGTCAGGAGTGAGTGGTACAGTACATTCAAAGAGCTAAGAGAAAAAAAAGTTCCCACTTAGAATACTCTAGCCATCAAAATAATCATTCAGAAATGAAGGAGAAATAAAGAGTTTTCCAAAGAAGCAAAAGCTAAAGGAGTTAATCACTACTAAATAGGCCTCACAAGAAATGTTAATAGGATTTCTTTAAGCTGAAGAGAAATAATGCTATTTAGTAACAAGAGTACACATAAAATAACAAACTTCATTGGAAAGATAAATATATACTAAAGGTAAGTTATCAATACTTAAAATGTTATTAATTTAAAATAAAATAGAGTGTTATAGATATAAGTTCTTTGTATTAACCTCATTGAAACCACAAAGCAAATACCTATAGTAAATACATAAAAGATAAAGAGTAAATATATGTATATTAAAGAAAGTCATCAAAGTACAAGGAAGAACGAAAAGAAGATAGAAACAGAGAAGTACTACAAAAAATCCAGAAAAAATGAACAAAATGGCAATAAGCATATGACCATCAATAATTACTTTAAATGTAAATGGACTAAATTCTCC